GTTCTTTTCCATTCGCTTCTCCATTGTAGCAGTTCCCATTTTATATTAGGCCAATGGGTACCTATACCTACCCAGCAGTCCTGGAATGTTGTCTGAAGTGCCAGGGGGCTCAGGCCTCTTCGGGCATCAGCTGGGAACGTCTGGGCGTTCATCAACTGCACTTAACAAGTAGCTTTAATGATTTAATGGGATGGCCCATACTGCCCTCAAGCCCCCACCATCTCTTTCATATCAGTGGAGCTATTATACTTGACGGCATGTGCTATTGGACCATCAGGCACCTTTTCGCATGTCAGCTCACTCAGACCCACCTGAACAACCCACCCTGTGTACCCGAAAGCGACAGCATGCATGTGGCGAAAGGCCTTGCAGCTTCTGGCGCAGATCGGCCAAGAATTGCCCAGCCTGCCAAAGGCTGCAAATGGCTTCAAATTCCCCCAGCCCACTTCCTACAATGAGCTGCATGGGTGAGAAGCCAGCGGTTGACAAAATCTTCCTGCAAAGCACCGCCATGGCTCCCTCCAGGGTTTATGCATTGTTTGTCACATGATACACAGCTGCGCCTCGTCCTTGGAGCACGTGATCACATCCTGCCGCCAAGAGGAGGGTCGCCTGGAGCCCGTGTGCTTTCGAATGATGTGAAGCACCTGAGCAGACAGTCACGACCCACCACACTTCTCTACATGTTCCAGATCTGAACGCCTTTGGGGCAGTGGGCCTGGACCTCCCCTGCGCCAATCGTCTTCTGCTTCTTCGCAGGTGGCTGCGAAGGCATCGGAGCATCGTTAACCGCCTCCTACAGCATGCTTTCGCGCTGTGGCAGCAGCAGCAGGTGGCCATGGTCATATCATGCTGGTTTTCCTGACATTAGAGGTGACTTAGCCTCTGCAAATTCTGACTAACAGACACGCAAATCCCAGATTGCTTGAGCATCTCCTCGCCGCAAGAATGGATGGTCACCTGCACCAGCAGCTTCAGAAATTGAAATGAGCATTATCATCTGTATGAGGGCTGTAGCACGGCACAATCACATCATGATAGGATTCATGTTGCACCTTCTTCGAGGTCTTGCCACTGGGAGTTCCGCATTTCTCCATCTTTTGTACCACTTCATAACCTGAGATGACCTGGGGAGGAGCCAAGCATGCTCGGCTTCTGAGGAGACAATGCTGAATGTAGCACTGACGCTAATAATCAATTTCAATTCCTTAAGGCTACAACTGGTTTCTCACAAGTTTACAGCCACAAAACCCCGTAGACAAGGTCTGACAGTAATAGTAAGGGGCAGACAATAGTAAAAGTCCCTCCAAAAACAAGAATCCCGCTTACTAGTAGTAGTAGTAGTAGTA